GTTTTGGCTCTAATTAACCCCACTTTATGTATATTAACAAAAATATTTTAATTGTCCACCTACTCGCAAAAACTTTTAATTAGTGTATATCATATCTTCTTAATTTTTGCTTTTCGATTAATTGTTCAAGCTTAAATTTAAAGTTCTATATTTTGTTTTCTCACTTTTATCCATTTCAATATAATCTAGTTTGACCATCTCTAGATCATCAAAAGTATTTTGAATTACGAGAAGTAAACGCACAAAGAATCTTTAATATATAAATTTAATAAGTTTTTAAAATAAACAAATCAAAGTTATAAAACCACTACTGTTTAAAGTGTAAACCATTTATAATCGGGACGACACACAAAAAAAAAAACATTTTATAATCGTAGATAAACCGTGTATAACATAGGTGAATGACTATTGAGAAATTTCAAAAAATGCTATTTTTCAAGTGCTATTTTACAAAAATACTACATTTTTTAGATCTTTACAAAAATGTCATTTTTACAAAAATTTTTTTTTTTATATTATTTATGTTTGAGTTAATTATGTTGTATTAGGGTTTAGTTTTGAGTGTTTAGGAGGTTTTAGGTGTCAAAACATTTTTTAGGATTTAGAATTTTAAGATATATGTTTTATAAATCTATAATTAGTAACATTTTTGTAAATGGACACCTGTAAGTGGTATTCTTACAAATGTGCACAAAAACATTTTTGTAATTGCTCCATGAATATTTTAGTCACTCGAATTAAGTTAAACCAAGTTAAACCCAAAAAGTTTTAGATACGCACTGAGACTTACCACTTTCCCCACCGATACATTTTATGGCGGTTGTGACCAAAAGCTTGCTTTTAAGTCAAACCGATTCAATTTCAGTTACCAACTCCAGTCTGGCAATTGATAGGTTGCAAGCTGCATTAATGACCATCCTCTCATATGGTATCGTATTGCAACTTGCAAGTCTTTGATCAAAGTTCAAAGATGAGAAGGAGAAAAGAGAAAAATTATGTCAAGGTCAGATCTGAGGAGACCCTTTAAAACGACAATAAATATGGCCAGGAAGATGCTAAAGACACCAAACCTTAGGATCAAAATTTTGATTTTTGTAAAATCAAAATCTTGTTACCAAGGAAATATAAACCAAACAAAATTAAAAGCAAACGAAAGTCGAATATGATAATACAAGTAGCATACTGTTATAGTTATAATAAGAATATAAATAAAATAATTAGAGACAATATAAATAAAACAAGTTTAAAGATACAAAAGACAGTACAAGGGAAGGAACACGCGCCATACCTAAAACAAGTTTAAAGATACAAAAGACAGTACAAGGGAAAGAACACGCGCCATACCATGTACGCACCCCTAAAAGCAATGTTTTGAAAATCGGACTGGACCGGAGGTCGGATCGGGTTTGACCGTGAACCGACCGGTTAACCGGGTTAGGTTGACCCGGATTTGAG